CCCACAGTGAGGAAATTCCAGTGTTCCAGCAGCAGTAAAGGACCAAACAACATCACACCATAAGAATAAACACCCCACACATATCTTGAGAGAACAAGATCCAGGTACCCGAAAAACCAAACAAAGGGTGAAAGGGTGAAAGGGAGTTTGATTTCATAGCTGGCAGAGAAGGGTGGGATTATACTTACTGTACATGTTGCACGAGGTCACCTTAATGTTTTCTCAGGAAGTGACAGTTTTCCAGGAAGCTCAAGTCCCAATGGGGTCTTCCTAAATGACATGCAAATCAGTGTTCCTGTGCACTCTGAGTGCAGTCTTGCACATGTTTCTGATTCTGTGAGGCCTCAGATTTAATAGAATGTGGACAACTTGGCATCTGAAATCACAAAAAGAGTGTTTTGATGTGCTGCTGCTGCTGTAATTGTACATATTTTTGGTAGAAACAAGCTGTTGGAGTGGGAGAAAATGGGTGTTGGACCACAATCAACAAGGAAAATGGTTGCCTGACAAAAACTGTGAATTATTGAAAATGAGTAATTTACAAAGCTGCAATCACGATATGTCAGAAAAAGAAAAATTTATTAGAAAATAAACATGTCAGATTGATTTAGGCACTGGAGTACACATATTACCACTTGATTCATATGTCTCTTATAGAATGATCACAGAAGCAGTTCTGCTGTTTTAACCACATGGAATTGAAATGTTATGCTGCATCTTGCCTGTGTATAAATGTTTATTCAGTTTTGAGCTTGATTGTTTTACTTTATACTTGTACTTCAGAATCAGAATCAGAATCAGAATCTGCTTTATTGGCCAGGTGTGTTGGACACAGGAGGAATTTGACTCTGGTACATCGGCTCTCAATGTGCAAACAGTAAACCAGCATAAGGCTGTGTAATATAACAAAAATAAGCAGTATTAACAAGCAACAGAAAGTGCAAACAATGCAGAATAAGCAGTATAAACAGACAGTAACAATGCAAACAAAGGAATGTTCTTTGAAATGAGATAATTAGGGATAAAAATAGAGTACTTAAAACAGAGTACTAGAGACCTGTATGAGTCTGTATAATCTGTACAATGTATATATACACAGGTATTGCACTGAGGGTTATTGTCCAATCATATGGTCATTGGTTAAGTGTTCATCAGGGTGACAGCCTGGG